AAAACCCTCGGCAAGCCTCGGGTTTTACCACATTTTGTGACCCCTCGGGTGGAATATCCCTATCCTACATACCCATATAGAAAAGAGTCTTATATTATAAGTCATATGCAATTGTATACGAAGAATAATTCTATGCATTGTGCATTTGGAAATATAACCGAAACAGATTTCTTTGGGTTCGATATGGTTATAAGGGTTATAGTGAGATATAGATATAATGCTTAAGGCATACCACAGCTGTAACAACATGGAAATACAAAAAAATACATAAACTATATGGCACTTGATGCTAGGTAATTCTTCAATGATACTGGAGGACTCTTGGGATGAATCCAGAAAAGGATATCGGAAACTCAAAACTCAGCTTATGAAATAGTGGAGTTATAAGTGACACTGTAATTTAACCGGTAAAATTGAACTTAACTTTAGATAGGCAAAAACATGTTTTATCTGCAGATTCGATGACGTCAAATGACCATTGATAACTGAAAACACAGAAAATATGAAGCTCATGTTTAGAAATAGAAATGAAAACAAATATTTGATTTGTGCTAGGAAGACTCGAAATCTAGTTTCCATAGGCTACCAGAAACAGTTTTAGCCAAGTATACCTGTAGGTTTCGTTGATACATACTAAATGTAAAGATTTACAAACTACACAGTGTCCTCGGTTGGCTCAATTTCGATGTCAATGCGTAACAATAAGTCGGTATTTGAGAAGAAATATGTGCTATTCAATTCAATGATTAATCACTTAGGAAAAAATGCACACGCAATATATCTGTAATTTAAGAATTGAATTGCTGAAGGCAATCTTGAAAACATATACAAAACACAAAAAGTGGGTATAAAGGGTACAGACGTTTGTCTGATCTAAACCAATATTCTCGTTGTGTAATACTGCTTCACAAAAGGGTGGGTAATTATGTATAGCTATGTTGAGTGAGAGACTTTATTTATCGGTATCACAAAGGCCTCACCAAGAGATATCGTGACGGACTTTGAATGATAATCATTTAGGTTTTTGTTCACCTGTTAAATATAACGCATGTTTAACTATACCCGAGCAGCACACAGGAATTGGATATGAGTAACAATAACAAGTTTATCATGGATGAATAAAGAAAATCGATTATGTAATCCTGTGGCATCATGTATCTGTTGGACCGATTACGAGGTGATCGCCTCTGAGGCAAATGTGTGGTTTTGAAAAAAAAATCAGTATTTCAGGTACGCTTTGTACATTTCTTCATAATGAAGTATCTTTACAATTTGACATAGCAGAGTGCATTTCAACACGTCAGAGTACTTTTACAATCTTTAGCGAGAAAGTAGGAACCCGGTCTGGTTGCATTTTACATATACACCAATGATATTATTATCATTATTATTATCATTATTTACGGCGCGTCAACACATAAAGGGTCATTAGGACTATCAGCCGGTAAACACACACAGCGATCCAAAAGGAAATAACATTAAACAAAAAAAAAAAAAAAAAGAAAGACAAATGTTAAAAATCTTAAATGGATTTATTATTATTATGGATGAGCTAGACCAACTCCTCGACCAATATTATTTTATATAAAAAAAAAATCATGATTTTCCGTTTTTCTCGGGTAGCTGAAGTTCTCACTAACCCTGTAATACCGCAATTTTAAAGTAAATCGCTACCAATCTAACGTAATAAACAGTTTTAAAAAGGAATTCGAAACAACTCAGTGCTAATTCATAGTTATGCGGGAAGTCCTACCATCTAATGCATTCGCGACAAACTGTAAATAAATCTGCCGTCTTCCAACATGGCAGAAGTCGTGCGAGGGAAGCGGGGAAGAACACGCGTTTTGACGGACTCTGAGGCGAGAAAGAAGGAAGATGGCTGGTTCATACCGTGTATCGCTCTCTGTTTGGCTCTCTCGTGTAGTATTACTCTAAAATCATATTCATAAATACTCTTATCATCGAATATTCGCTTTAGATAGATCCAATCCGCGATGTTCTATATGTTCGTTACCGTATCGTAGCCCCCATTTGAGGGCCTCTTTGCAATTAATCGTAGTTTTTCTCGTAATCTGTACGTTTATATGTCATATCTAAGCATTGAAAGATGTGATCAATACATACGTTAGATGATTTCCATACATAATATATAGAGTATGGATTGCATTTATCGGTAAAATCTCTTTGCAAGCGATGTCACATGGACGTACTACTCACCTCTTCCTCCATTTTTGTTTTGGTTCTGACAGCGTCTTAACGTATCACGTGGCTTTTCCTCATCAATATTCATATCCTTATGTTGATTAATGAGACTAATCCCGGCACCGATATCTCCGGTACCCTTTCAATTTCAAGTTCGAAACTTTATACAAGTCTTTATTTATATATTATCTATTAGTATACAGCATTTCTAATCAATAAAATATGAAAAAATATCTATAACGGAGTGGGTCTGGCTCTTTAACACAAAAGATTAAAATGGTACGTCATAGTCTATTATATAGACTAACATCTTTCAGGTAATATAGATTTTACAGATCTCAACAGTTTCATAAAAGGTTTTTAGACATGTAATGTTATGATAAAAACATTCCTGAGTAGACAGAAGGTCATTGCAGTCCAATAAAAAAGGTTTTACGGTGAATGACTCACCACATCCTATGCACCGAGGATTATGTTTGACTTTCAACATATATTAATGAGTAGGGTACGTGTGACCCATCCAAAGACGGGCAAAGACAACTTCGTCTCGGTGGTTTTCTCTATAGCCTGGAGACCATTCACCGATAACAGGTTATACACCAATGAGAAACTATCTTAATATTGAGTAGATATTTACTGATCAATACTAGGATATTTAAGTTTAATTATGTGTATAACATAGCTTTATGTACTGTATGTCTTGTGACTCGCTTTAATATTCATTACAATACATTATGTTATAAAATTAAAATAAAGCATTCTTATATGCATCACATCAAATCACTAAATCATCAATGAATTTTGTAAATAACGAAAAAAAGAAATAATTTTTAAAAAATATATTGTACAGTGTATTAAAAATTGCAAGCAAAATCGCATCCTTCTAATTTTGATTAACACCATGTCTTGTAGGATTTTTTTCTATTGACCTTTTAGGGTGATGATACCCAGGACCTTAATTGTGAGTAAATATAGACCTGTCATTACTCATACACAGACTATGTATAACGGAGAGAATGTTTTCAATAAATCTTTTCAGAAAAATAAATCAATGTTTAAACTGTTTGTAGAAATATGTTTATCCTTAAACTGTTTTCAGAAATACACATATCTGTGAAGTGTGGCGAAAACATTTTCATTGTCATTTTATGACAACAAAACAAACACACAGAAGTGTACAGTGTTACGTTACAGAATTAACGTACAACAAATAACACCCAAATTCAACAATTTAATAACAACAAATCAATTCTATACAGTAAAATTATAAATATTGTGATGGTGTACAGAACTAGCTGCTGATTAATCAAAAGTGAGAACTTATCTTCCGGTGGAAATCATCCAAATCCAGAAGAATTCACAAACGATTGTCCAGAAAACAGGGTACTGTAACCGAAGAATAATTCAAGAATTGTTAGTGCACGAGGCAATATCTCTTTAAAAGTCCATACTTCACAGACTGAAGTCTCAAAGTAAGCTCACTCCAGGTGTTAATACTTCAAAAGGCTGCTCAAGCTCAGTTCCATCAGGTTCATATGCAATAAAGGTGTCTAGAAAGTTTCTTCCTAGATGATTCTAGACTAGCAGCTACCTAGCTTGTTTACCTGTGTCTTTAGAAACTTCCGGAAACACCCAGGTAATTCTCATAACCAAGCTTTCTAGATTTAGAAACTGCCGGAAACAAACAGGTCATTGTATTAACCGATCTTTCTAGAAAAATCTACCTAGCACTATCTACACATATTGTGACAAATAATCATAATAAGGTTTTTATGTAAACAATTAATATGATACAATGCATGTGAACAAAGCACGTCTGAATTGTGATTACCACGCAACAATTATACATAACAACAGTACATAGAAAAGGTAATTTTGAGTCAAACAGCATGTTTGAATACACAATGTAAGAATATTTGCAACACCCACAACAATAGCAGATTATATGACCATTAGCGTCAAAGCCATAGTCTTGGAGTTTTTACTTATAATACATTTAATCTTAATAGCATAATCCTAAGGCTTTGAATGTAGTATTGTATGATACAGACGTACTCCATACCATTAATAGATTTAACCTCAATCAATACATTTGTTTGTACTTTTGCTATTGACGATCATTTAGCTTACATGGTACTTTAACATAATCGAAGCTTACTTTCTCAACAGGTAATCCTTGGCATTGAGAATTTAATCAGAAGATTAACATATTATATGTAATCGTCACAGCTATTTTAGTTTCTGAGTGATCAACAGGGCAATAGAACATTAAGGTTTGTTGAAGACTTTGTCATTTGAGCTATGGATTACGGTAAATAATTTTGGACATTGTTTTTGGAAAGGCTGCCTCTGTGACTGTAGTGTCGCCTCAAACGACGTGGGAAACGTTGGGTTCTTTAATTGTTACAAGTTGGCCCCAGAGGGTTGACTTTCAAATATATAAATAAACAGACCAAAGTTGTCCAACAAACGCCCAGATACAGCAGTGATATTGGATAATATTTGACAGAAGTCTATATGTAATATTCCAACTGGTGAATTATTACTGTGGAAACTACTATTTGTATATCATTACAAGGCTATTGGAGGATTTGTTCAACCTTATAGTGTCCTTTCGATTGAAAATACTTTCGTTGTGTTAATTTAACGTTGGAATTCTCTTTCATCAAACAAAACCTCTTTTCCGCCTCACCGCCTGTAAATCAACAGGATAATTTCGTAACTCTGGAAACGACTAATAGAACACGAGGTGAATCGATTTCACTGTGAAGAGCCAGTTCAAGTATTTAACTCAAACCATGAGAAAACGACTTTTGGTTTTGTTACTTATTGTAGTCTCCTCACTCCCATGTCCTGTCACATCTACTACCCATGATAATGTCAAGGCCCTCCTTACAAATATTTTCACAACTAACTCCTACAACAAGATGGTTCGCCCAAGTGCAAACCAGGCAACCGCCACTCGATTGTACGTGGACATTGATTTGTTTGGAATAACAGAGATTGACGAAGTCCAAGAAAAAATGTCAACAACGGCTGCCTTGTTCATAATGTGGCACGATGATTATATGAAGTGGAACCCATCTGACTATAACGGTACTGATGTCATATATGTTCCCCAGAAAGATATATGGAAACCAGACATTGCTTTGAAAAATGGCTTTACAAAAATGAAAGAGCTCGGAGATGATTTTATACTAACCATAATTTCATCTGATGGGATGGTCATATGGCAACCCCTAGAGGTGTTTCAGACAAAATGTAGCATTGACATACAATATTTCCCGTTCGATAAGCAAAGATGTGATTTAGAGTTTGGAGTTTGGTCCAGCCCAGTGAGTTCTATAGCCGTTGGACTAGGAAGTTCTGGTGTCATGCTAACTGACTATCAGGCCAATGAGGAATGGGATCTCATAACAACGTCTTTCAGGTCAATGACGTCAAATCAAGATGGAGCAGTGGTTATATTTTCCCTGATCGTTGCCAGGAAACCAGGGTATATAGTTAATAATGTCGTCCTCCCTGTTATGCTTTTATCAGTCCTTTCGGTGTTCGTGTTCGTTCTGCCCGTTGATAGCGGTGAAAAGATGGGATATGTTATGACTGTTTATCTAGCATTTGCTGTTTTTCTAACAATTGTCAGTGCGTCACTTCCTGTAAGCTCCACAATGTCGCTATTAGGTATGTACTTGACATTACAATTGTCATTAGGGACAGCCATCGTTATCATTACGGCGTTAGAACTCCGAATTCACTACCGCAACAGTTCTCGTGAAATTCCAAGGTTCGTCAAACGGATGGTGAGGTTGAGCAAAACATTGCGATGCAGCAAATCGAATAGAATAAATGATGATGTGAGAAAGAGCAAGGCAGATGTTATGATGCAAGAAGAAGATATCTTGACTGAAGTAAGTGCTAAAACTTCGTCAGTTGAAACAGTAATAGAACCAAAAGTTACGGAAGAGCTGACTTGGCAGGATGTGACGTCAGCAATTGATTTTTTCTGTTTTTGGATCTTCTTTTTCTTAAATTTGATTTTGACTATTGCCCTGTTTGTGGAAGGATATATCAACAGCAGTGTTTAGTCAATATGAACATAAATTGAGAAAATGCAAATGTTTTATTTTCTACTTGGTAATCTGTAAAAACAACTGTCTGTAACACACTTGTTGTCCAACAAGTCCAATTTTGTTTTTATGTTTTATTCTTTGAAACTTTACCAGTGGTGGTATCATTTTTCCTGTACTACCTACTGATAAATGGATACGTCATATTTACGTAATTATTCATATGCAAATGTCTTTCTTTCATTTTATCATAATTGATTTTTTTGTTGTTTGTACGCAAAATGCAGCTTACTAATTTGTCGATTTTTCCTTTTTCATTTCTTATCGTGTGTTTTGCATATCTAAATAAAACTCATCACGTAAAAGTGTTCTATGCTCGTTTCGATCATAAGATATATCTCCATTACCGGACGTTTGGTCCATTTATGTTAGTGAAGCATGAATCAGACGTCACGCCCACTTTTTTTTTCATTGATTGCATACGTCTGTGATAACAGCCTTTTGTACTTTCAACAGACGAACAAAGCATGTATCCGGTTTAGAGCATACACCAACTGGACTGTTTACAGATATTTGGCTAATGAATCAAATTACTTGATCAATACGTCTAACAGAAAATCTTCTAAATGGCCGGACATAATAAAGTTGCAACTAAACAGAATATTTTGTGTTCACAATTATGAAAATATTATTAACAGAATATGCAGAAATAGTTAGATGTTATTATAGAAAATTACTTTAAGCCTTAAACTATTTCACTATATTGATTTTGTCTTATCATTGTTTATTCCTCAAATCGATTATTATGTTATATCGAAAAATATTATTCTTAGGATTTCAATGCAAGTTAGTCCGAGGAACAACGGTTAGAAATCCATATTATTCGCTGGGACATCATCATAAATCCTGTCTCGTGCGATTGCCGACTGTAAATTTGGTGAAAAGCGTTTGTAAAAGTTAAATACGTGTATACGAGTTATCACAATACAGGGACACGGAGGCAGTTTATGAAGGTGAAATTATTTTTTTTTCTATCCATTCAACAACCAGCTGTACGATTGTACGTATATTTCCTGTTCTATTGTAAGATTTCGTTAAAAATCTAAAACTGTTCAAACGGTACACAACATACTTGCTATCGAAGCCTCATGACAAATCAATGGAAATAAGCATTGTTTATCAATTGATAACAGTCGTAAAATTCGAGTTTTTTTTATGTGATTAACAATTATGATGGAACATAATCATTTTCATTCCTACGGTTATCATAATCATCTACTTTCATTTTAGGTTTTATATCGGAGTATTATCTAATAGTAATGGCTATAAGTCTATTGGTGTTTTACGTGTTGACGACACTGTCAAGTCCTGTCACACCTTACCAACATGATCACATAAAGGCACTCCTTAACCATATTTTCACGACAAACTCCTATAACAAGATCGTTCGTCCTAGTGCAGACCAGCTTCAGCCTACTAGAGTGTTTGCGGATTTAAGCCTAGTTGGAATTACCGACATTGATGAGGTTCAAGAAAAAATGACAACAACAGCCTTTTTATACATTTCTTGGAAAGATGATTATATCACATGGAAACCGTCAGATTACAACGGCACCTACATCATATACGTACCACAGAAAGATATATGGAAGCCAGATATTGCTTTGGAAAATGGTTTCACTAAAATGAAAGAGCTTGGAGATGATTTTATACTGACTTCAATAACGTTTGATGGCGGTATCCTGTGGCGTCCGTACGAAGTATTTGAGACGAAATGCACTATTGATATAGAATATTTCCCTTTCGACAAGCAAACTTGTGAATTAGTGTTTGGTGTTTGGACGAGCCCACTTAGTGATGTTATCGTCGGACTAGGGAGCAAAGGTGTCTTACTGGATTTCTATCAATCCAATGGCGAATGGGATCTCCTGACAACGTCTGCTTCTGCTGAGCTTAACGACACAAGACAGGATGGGGCAGTAGCTAAGTTTTCAATAACAATTAAGAGAAAACCGCAGTATATCCTTATGAATGTTGTTTTTCCAATAGTTATGTTGTCTTTGCTTTCTGTGTTCGTTTTTGTTTTACCCGTTGAAAGTGGCGAAAAGATGGGTTATCTTATGACAGTATATCTTGCTTTTGCTGTTTTCCTGACAATTGTAAGTGCGTCACTTCCGGCTAGCTCAAATAAATCATTACTGAGTTTGTACCTGATATCGCTTCTATGCTTTGGAACAGCAATTGCCATGGTTACGACAGTAGAGCTCCGTATTCACTATCGCGACAGTTCTCATGAAATTCCCAAATTTGTCAAAGGTATGATAAAGGTGTGCAAAGCGCTGAGGTGTCGCAAGTTGAACAAGAAAATTCATGATGTAGGTCAAAATAAGGTTACTCAATCCAATGTCAAAGAACGAACAGGAAACTTTCAGAAATCGAAAATTCCTAAACCAACATTTGTTGAACCATTGGTTGAAATAAATAGAGAAAAATTTACATGGCCAGATGTGACGTCAGCTGTTGATTTCTTCTGTTTCTGGTTTTTCATGCTGACGAACATCCTGATAACAACTTTTATATTTGTTAATGGCTATATCAAAAGCAATGCTTAGTTTTGTAGTTTTAACAGGTATAGTTGCTACACAGTCAATGCAGAAGAAAGACACATTTATAAAACTGTGAAGAAATGTTTTTTTCTCCGCCGACACATATCTGTACAAAACATGTTTTGACTGTAAAATTATTCTCTTTAACAAAAGCATAACATATACAGTAGCTATATGCTTTCAACAGCTTGTAAGTACCCATTAATACATTACTTCCATCATGAATTATTGATGCCAGTTGAATGCTTCATGTGTGACTACCGTTATTGTTGGTATTGTTCTAGACGAAAGGTTGACACTTAACACTGAAAATATGAAAAATCTTATGTTATCAAAACTTCTTTAAATACGTCTATCTTAATGTCCCCATGTTCTTTTTATTCCATTGTAAGTATATAGCTAGTGCAGCTTGGCAAATAATGGCGTAAACTCAAATGATTATATAAAATATGTTTGGAAATAAATCTCAAGATCATTTCAATGTCAAAAAAATACAGCATACATATGAATATATATATTTATGACATTTTGTTCAAGGAAGCTTTATAATGGGCCTGGAAATTATTAAATACATTTACAAGTTTAATTTGATTGGCCTACATCGATCAAATAAGACATAACAGTGTAACAGCTGGATGCAGCGATGGTTCGGTGGCTTTATCTGATGATACGAGGTACGAATCGTTGAGATGTTGACTAGCTGATCGAAAATATAAATACCTCCAGATATCTCAACTGTAAGAGGAGGACGAAAGAAAATAAAGCAAAAGAAAACAATAATTTAGAAGGATGATTGTGTTCAAAATGAGCAAAACTGTTTTTGATAGTATGTTATCGTCATTATTGAAGAATACATGGGTTAATAATAAAAGGTTTTGTGTTGAAATTGTCAGAGTTTGCGAAGAATGTATGAACACTCAAGTTTGATATAAAGTACTCCAGTTGATGTAGATACATGTTCGTCTTTAAGTATACCTATTGATAGCGTAATGTACTAATACTCATATTTAATGTATAGTACTCCAGTTAATGTAGACACATTTTCGTCCTTAAGTATACCTATCGATAGAATAATGTCGTAATTATCGGGTTTAATATATAGTACTCGTGTTGGTGTAGACACATTTCCGCCCTTAAGTATACATTTTAATAGAGTAATGTAGTAACACCTATGTTCAATGTATAATATTCGTGTTGATGTAGACATAGTTAAAGTATATAGAATCCCATGCAGTAGAGATTAATAATGAACTAAACTGCATCCTACAGCTACTTCGTCCTTTTAGGACTCGTCAGTGCTGTTTAGAACCTACATGTTAAAATCTAGAAGGCGACTGATGAAAATCCACAGATATATTATTTCAATCGTTATGTTTCCAATGGCTGAAACCATACCGTACCTGAAAATGTTTGAAAAAATTATAAGCTTTTATTTTTAATTTTCAACAAATATGGATTTTCCTTAGTCACCTGTCTCCTAGATATAGGTAATTACAGCAACTTAGAATTAGGACCTAGAAGGACGAAAGAGAGTAGCAGTTTAAATCAATAAATTTGCTAATCGGTTTCTAAGTTGGAATTCATATTTTGAAATGTGCTTAATAGTTATTATTTTACAATCTTTGTTATGATTATAACTTATTTTCAAGATTTTAGGGTACTTTGGTTTACACTTTATAAAAGGTTTTGGATAAAACAGGAAAGATTGATGTCGTTTCAACTGTTTTTATTATATCAATCGTTTGACTAACAATTTAACAATTTATTAGAAAAATAATATGTCAATATTGGTTTTAATACTGATATACAACAGGCAAGTATAATAATTGTATGACTGAGTATTAACTCACTGGCTCTAGATGGATTATCGCATACAATTTAGGCCGGGAGATCAACATGACTCTGAAAACGAGACATGGGTTCTTTTATATAAAATGAAATTACAATAATTTAACTAAAAACTAATCCATTTATAAGCCTATGGTAAGATACAAGGTAACACTGTTTCCAAGTGAAAAACATTTTCAGTCGGTGTTAATGTGTGAAACTTAATTTGCGCATGCATCTAATTAAATGAAAAATATGTCATGAAAAACCATGTAATTCAATTTTATACTGGAACTTCAGTAGAACTAAGTACACACACCAAGTTACAGCTGTTTCTTTCATGTTAATAATTTTTCGCATGCACTAACTTTATCTCTGTTGATTTTATTGTTTAATCATAGATGATATTTTAAAAACAAAATTTCTCTTTTACTTGAAAATCAATATAAATCTGATCAATCAGAAACACATGTCAAGTTATTTTTAACATGGGATAAATATTTCAACTGAGGTGGATTGAAAAGTTTGAATATGAAGTAGTATTGCAATATGTGTGACTTTTCATTGCGTATATAAATATCATTTTTGAAAACGCATACTCATCAAATTGATCTTATAACTTGAAAAAGGATGATAAAAATAAATCAATGACTAGAAAGGTACCTACATGTGATTTTACACTATGAAGGTTATCTATATATATATATGATTTGAAACTGATGGCTTGGATGGATTCTAACACATGTTCACGTGATAATTTGAATAACTATTAAAGAGAAATCTCTTCAACGGAATGTTTTGCATATCAGTTGACAGTGAAACAAACATTTTTATAAACTATTAATCATTAATAGCACACTGTACTGATCAGATACCATAATGTATTATTTTGCAGACGTTTAAGATACAATGATAATCACAGACGCTTTCGATATGCAATTTATGGGGAGGAAGACGTTTTCTGATTTTTAAGGTAAAAAAGTATGTCATGGCTTTTAGATATAGTAACTGGCAAGCGCATTGACATTTCTGTGAAGTATATTGTCATAAAGCAACACCTCAATTTAGATCATGTCATAAAAATTGCCATTTACATCAATATTGATCAACATAAACTGTACATAATTAACTTTTGATCATTAAGATAAACAATTGATAATGAATCATTATTCCAAATAATTATCATACTAGACAGAATAATATCTGATGCTAAAAGTTGTATTCCTATTTAACATATTGATTTCTTTGTGATCTGAACTCCATTACAAGATATAGATGACCACCAGGTAATATGCCAGCTTTTAGTAACGTTTTAATAATTCTGTGTGCAAAATAAAATGTATTTGTTTTTAATTGTGTAAGTTGGATAACATGGTATCAACAATTTTCTGCAAAATTAAAACAATAGTATTCAGAATATTGGTTTTGCATTAAATGTGATTGATGAAGACAAGATTCTGAGAGTTATCAATCATTTAGGTTCTTGAGTATCTGAATTCAGAAAATAAATAATGACAGAAATAATAAGACACTTTTCACACAAATAATTTACATGTTGAATAATTATTATGCAATAATTATTAGGTTGTCTCATGATTGCTTGTAATTTTTGTTATTAAATAAGCAATTACAAATTATATTGCAGTTCACAGTCTGATTTTCAGTCTGTTCATATGGTATGGGTGTGGAAATTCATAGTGATTGCAAACAGAATGCAACAAAAAGCAACAAGCTGCTTAAACATGTAATAAACCTTGGACAAATGGCTCACTAAAATTTTCTGCCGCAAGAAGTGTGAACTTCTGACATGTCAACTGGTTAAAAATATCTTTACCAACAAAATATCCCTAAAAGCAGTAATGTGGAAAGAAATACACACTTAAATAATCAAGGAAAATTAAAAGACACAAATTTTAAAAATTTCAAACTTGTTATGCTTGAAACTTGTTTGAGAAAGTAGATTTAAACCAATCAGAATGGAATCACATTCAATTTCCTCTTGAAATAATTCCAGGAGCAATATGAAACAAAACTATAATAGAATATGGAACTGGTTGTTATAAGGCTGGTAATCCAGTCTATGTGTAGAACTATCATCACAAGCCATAATAATAAGCATTATGAGTGTCTTGCATTTAATGTGGCAACAGACTGACAAATATTGATGTGTACTGACAGCAGTCTCTAGTTTTAGAAAATACAAAAAAACATTGACTCACAGAGCTGTTCCTTAAATTTGGACCTCACAGAATTTATAACATTTTGTACTCACTCATATCCTTATGGCTCTGAACTATTAAATAGTATCATACTTATTTCTTGACAACTCATATTTAGAGCATGAACACAAAAACATACAAATGCCCTGAAACTTAATTATGATGGAATGATGGTTAGAGATAATGTTTCATGCCCAAGCCACTTTAAGATGTAGGCATAGATATAAGTATATCGTACCCTTAAAAATATTGTTACTTCATCAATATAATCTAACATTTTTGTTCAAGTACCAGAAATATCAGATTGGATCAACTTCTTTTATAATCGATTCCATATGATACTGAAAAATTTGTTCATGTTTTTTTTAAAAAAATGAATATAAGAATAAATATCATATGACAGTACCCCATACTATCTATATGATACAATATGTACTACATATACCTATGTTTCAGTAAGTATACCATTTACTAATATACTCTATCGACATTTTATCAAATAGATTAAACATACTGGGATAACTTTTCCATGGGGATTATTCACTCTTGTTACATTATACAGGAATTCAAGTCCATCTCTCCCTTGGAGGGTTATATGAAACCCTGTTAAAATACTAGCTGCAAAATACCATTTGGCTAGAGAGATATTCTCTTTAGATCGATCGGTTGAGTGGTAAGCTAGAGGTCCCAGGTTCAAATCCTCGCAGAGGCATAGAAATGAATAATGACCTCTGTTACGTTGGCACCCATTTAGGGACTCAAGAATAAGACTTTGCGTTACTTTCACAAGTATCACTGTAACCCCTGGAAACACGAGGATGAGTTATTTCCTGGAAGGGGGGGGGGGTATATAATCCTGTTAAAATACTAGCCTCAAAATACCGCTTGGCTAGAAAGAACTTCTTGTTAGCTCAATTGGTTGAGCAGGAGACCAGTAAGCCAAGGGTTTTGGGTTCAAATCCGAGAGGAGGCAAGTAAATATATAATAACCTCTGTTACATAAACAAAAAGAGTTATATAAGAGTAAAATAAATTCCCCCCTCATCTTAGATTTGTCATCCCTGTTCAAAGGCAAAAAGGGCGAAATTAAACGTGGGCCAAAATTTCCCAGTATACTGTACTTAACATGTACACAAATCATCATTCACGTTGACAGGAATCACAGACTTAGTAACATAAAGTTCATATACATTATTGCCATTGAATACAGTAAGACATTTCTATAACAATTAAATCCCAGGGATGAAGGATATAACGTTACTGTTTTCCATAAATATCATTCACTATAACTTAAAAATTTCCTGAAACAATTTCTACAAACTCAACAATGATAAAAATAAGAGGTTGTTATCAACGATGTAAAACAAACATTATGAATTTATAACATTTAACAATACATAATTGTGTTAAATGGTAAATTCACTTGGGTATTCTCAATTTGTCTTGATGTTCTTCTTCAATCGTTTGGAGACCAGGCCAGGTACAAGTGCCATTATGGCAATAAATCCTAACTTGATCATTGTCCAAGGTGTGAATATATCCTCAATAGACCTGAGATCAGACAACATACTTCCTGTCTGCACGCATATAAAATTATATGGCACTAAACCTGAAACAAAAGACGAAGTTGTAGGCTCTTAACTTGTAAAAACATATGGATAAAAAAAGTACACCAACTGAACAAAAAGCATACTCCCTACATCTATCTGAATATGAATGAAATGTATGGCACTTAAACTAACAACACACAAGGAAACAAACTTAAAGCCTAAAACCTACAAAAAAAGTATAAATTTCTTTAGCAACTAAAAAAAGGTATGGGCACAAGTTAATACACTGGTGAACAATATACATGTACAATACCAGGATCTACCGGGAAGCTGCCTAATCAATAAACCATAAGTCCATAACCGTATATATATTTTTTTTATTTTATGTGTCGAAGTGTTAGCAGCAAAAATAAGGGCAAATGAAAGCATAAAAGGTATAGAAATTGAAAATGTACCTATTTTAAACGCACAATATGCAGATGATACCGGTCTTATACTTGACGGCTCAGAAAAATCACTCAAGGAATCAATTACTGAATTAAATACTTTTGCAAAAATTTCTGGGCTAAATATAAACACTAATAAAACACAAGTTATTTGGATAGGTAGCAAAAAGTATAGTGATGAATCCTTCCTTCCTGAATTGAATCTGCTTTGGGGTAATACCAAATTAACTTTTTTAGGCATTGATTTCTCGGTTGACTTAACTGAAATTACTAGGATGAACTATGACAAAAAATTAGTTAAACTGAAATCACTTATTAATATGTGGCAAAAACGGAATCTTACTCCAATTGGTAAACTTAATATTATAAAATCGCTCTTAATTTCCCAATTCAATTTTTTATTCATTACTCTGCCTAATCCTACAGATAAGTTTCTTACCAAACTAAACTCAGCCATTTTTGAATTTCTTTGTAATGGAAAATCACATAGAATAAAAAATGATGTTTTAATTCAAAACTACATAGATGGGGGGCTAAAAATGATAGATGTAGGCAGTTTTATAGACTCCCTTAAACTAGGATGGATTAGGAGAATCGCTCAATCCTCAGGAAAATGGAAAGTTCTGCTGAATTCTATAATTAATATAAAGAAATTGTTTAGCTGTGGAAGAGAGTATGTTCATTTATGCAATATAAATTGTGGCAATAAATTTTGGAAAGATGTGTTTAAAAGTTGGGTTAAAATGAATAATTGTTTGTCCATGAAGTACTATACTCCTGAGTCAATTTTGAAAACACCTTTATGGTATAATAATGATATTAAAGTTGGAAATAATTACATTTTTTATCCACTATGGTTTAATTCTGGTATTTATACTATTAATGACCTTGTTAAAAATTCAGAAGATTTGTCTTTCTTCTCCTTCAATGAGTTTTGTCAAAAGTTCCCAAATAAAACTAACTATTTAGAGTATCTTGGCTTGATCACTGCTATTAAACAATTTTTGAGGAAACATGATTTTCAACCACAGGGACTCTCTCAGCCTTTCATACCTCTTCTGCTTGAAATTTTCTTCAAAAGTAAAAAAGGATCTAAAGCTTTTTACAACACCATTATTAAACCAGCGACAACACCTACTGGTATTAAAAAATGGGGGGAAGAATTTGACTTTGATGACCAGAAATGGAAATACTTACTCCAAATTCCTTTTGATATTACAAAGAGTGCAAAATTACAGTGGTTCCAGCTAAGAATTATACATCATATCTTGGTAACAAATACTTTTCTTTTCAATATGGAAAGGGAGACAATAGTTCATTGTTTATGGGAGTGCATAGAAGTACAGAATCTGTTAGAAAGATTTGAGGCATTGCTAGATATTCTACTGATTCCTTTTGGGGTAAATAAAGAAACATACTTATTTGGAATTACCAATCCTAATACTAATCCGGTAGATAATGAAATTCTAATTCTTATTAAACATTATGTCTATAAGTCCAGATGTCTGTACAAATCTCTTAGTTTAAATGCTCTCCTAAATAATATCAAGGAATATTTTCATATACAACAACATATCTCTTATAGTAAAATAGATACTTTTAAAGTAAATTTTCAGAAAAATTGGAAAAAATGGTTACCTCTTTTGGAATTATAATATATTAGTTAATTCAAGCCTTGTCCCAATGGCCTTGACATCACCACATTGTAACTAAAATTTATCATGAGAATTCTTTTGGCTCTATTATATTGTTTATTATAATCCTCCCATCCATCTCAAACCCCCTATCACCCCACTACATCCTCTTTCCCCAACCTCCAAGCCCACCCTCCCTCTTTCTCTTTGTTAATATTATGTAATTTCTGTCTCTCTCTCTCTCTCTCTCTCTCTCTCTCTCTCTCTCTCTCTCTCTCTCTCTCTCTCTCTCTCTGTGTGTGTGTGTGTGTGTGTGTGTGGGTGTGTGTGTGTGTGTGAGGGTGTGTGTGTGTGTTTGTATGTTGGCATATGCATACCTTTATGTGAGAATATTTACAGGTATGATTTTTGTGAAGGTTTCCAGTAAGTTTTCAGTGTACAGTGAATTTTTGTATTATGCATGACGATGGTGATGTCTACAGGGTGATGATTGAGGCCTACCTGATTGTGAGGATGATGATGATGATGATGATGATGATGATGAGGCCTATAACAGGATAATGAGTACGGTGTGTAAGTGTCAGAGTAAGTGTGTCTGTATTATGTTGCATGTATGACTTGTCATTTATTTGTTATTGTTTTAATTGGCAAAAATGAATGAAAAATAAAAAAAGAATTATAAAAAGAAAATAAGTCCATAACTGCACTGGGTGCTTATTTGGTCCATATTTTTGTTAAAAGTTTCATGATTATACATTTAGCCACCCTGGGCGGCTTTCTGGTAGATCCTGGTACTCATAGACTCAGAGTCCTTACTATCAATTTCCATTAACATAGATGATTGAAAAGTCAAGAAACTCAATGCTATACAAACTGTAGCATGTGTTAATAGTTTTCTGTGTTGGCATTAAGTCTACAAGTGAAACAGGTACCTACCTATAAACACGGACAGGAAGAAAAGATGTACTGGAATGTTTACAATAGGTGAAGCCATGTTCAGGAACCAATTTGGCGTCATCGGGAAAAACCTCAAGAACAGCAGAAAATAAAAAAGACTGTCCATGTTTTCTTTCACCTGTAAGTGACATGTATGTGTTTAATTCGGATGTATCAATTGCATATGATGGCCATTTACAGTCAGCTACTCACAGCGTTTAATGTCATTATGAATAGTGACCAAATGGAGCGATTATTTCATTGCCAACAACTTGTGTGTATGGTTTTATGGTACGGTATATTTAAACAATTCATATTATGAATGAAACAAGACCAGAAAAGGTTTGAACTATCACTAAACAGAAAATTATTGGTTCTACTGAAAAAAATCACATTTTCCAACTCCACACCTGTTTGAAAAAGATCAAGAAAATATCAACAAGGCAACAAAATCATGATCCAAAACTCAAATTCCATAAAATTAGGACAAAATATGAACAAGAGAAAAATTCACACAAGGACTACTGAAAATGTACAAGGAGAGCAAGATCAAGTGTACCGGAAGAGTAAAGAGTAAACCCTAAGATACTTATTTGATGATCAGTATCTCATCAATTTGCATATGATTATTTTATTGCAATTTTGCCTGTGAAATAGAGGAATTTGTAAAGTTGATAAAAAGCTTATATTATTAGTAGTGATGATATAACTTCCCCAGTGATGAAATAACTTTCGTACTTTTTCACCAATCATTGCTGTGCCTTCTAGTCTCTTTGCTTAGACATTAATTGATTTCACCATATAGATAGAAGACTGGATATGTAAACTTTCAATCCGATCATCATTGTGATTGTTTTAGTTTTCCCTAATATGATGTTTCAAAAATGTTTGTGAAATTTGTGAAATACTTAATAATAACTTAGTAGTAAATGGGAACCCGTTAAAAATCATCTAAATAGTGGACAGGACCATATATTTATCACTTCATCAAACTGCGACCTTCTGATAGAACTTACCTTTTCTTGCAGAAAATTGACTTTCTGAGGGAAGTATTTGACTATGTATGACTTTCCACATAGTTTGGACCATGTATAACAACAGGTGGCACCACTGGCTGTCAGGGTACAAACAATGATGAAGCCAAGCCAAGTTGGAAACAGGGCCCCAGCTAACAGGTTCTGATAAACACAAATAAAATCATACAATAGCTGTATATGTAACTGTATCTAATAATGTGAATCAAGAAATTTTTAGATAAAAAAGACCAGAATGGTGTATGTCCTCAAGAAAATAGTGAGCACACAATAGGAAGGAATCAAATAAAGAATATACCCTGCCCTTACTGGAGCTCAGAATAATCAAATATCATGCAGACAGCTAGTCATTATGCAAAAGTGACCTGTATTAAGAACTTGTACAGTGAACATAGCTGCAAGTTCAAATTATGCTGTATTTTTTTAATACCAACACCCATCCAACTAAACCCATCCAAATGCAAGTTCAGATAACATGTTATCTCTCCTCCAAAGTCAATTAGAACCCTTCCTCGCCCAAGTTAAAAAAAACTATGGTATTCTATCCTCAGTCAGTAAGAATGGATACTATCTATTTGTGTGCCTAGGCTGACATCTATAGTAAATTATGCTTTGAGTAAAATTTTGTCAAAACAATTCTTCCCAGGTCTTACAAGAAAAACACAATCACAAACTTCTGTGAGCTAAATATCAGATTGAATGCTAAGACAAAATATCAATTTATTTGGCTCATGAAATGAGCTAATTAAGATGGTGTCCATATTGTCTCTGTGCACCAAGTAAAATGTCTATGCTCTAACATAAATGATACACCAAAGCATTAAAAATAACTGCACGATTAAGAAATGATAGTTTTGTCTTATTTATAAAGAGCATATACTATGAATTTTGTTACATTGATACAAAAAAAATCAATTGGGTTTATGTAAAACTGGTACTTGTATTAAAGATACAAAGATGTGGTCTTTAATACAGGTCTGACAGTATTCTTGTGCTTTATATTTTGTACCATAAACACAGATCCGGGAATGGCAAAGGACTGTTTGTAGAGGTAGGCACTGCAGAACAGCACAAGGACATAGGGTAAGTGGTCAGTTTTATATTGCTGAAGAAGGACAGCTAGACTGGTCAACTCTTGAAGATTCCGTGGGAACTTCAGGTCCTCACTATGACAAAAAAAAAAAAAAAAAAAATTACTTCAGTAGAATTATCTGAAACTCAGAGGGACTCTAGGTACCGAATCTGCTACAGGAACTGTTGTGTGACAAAAAGAAAAAAAATTATACATCAAAAAGCTTTTAGTGTATACATATAAGTATACTCTGATCTTCCAGATGTTAAATTGGACTTCAATCATCCTTGAGGTGGGAAAGTTACAGGTGTACATAACCTGACTTCAGATTGTTTGGTTGAGTAGTATTTGTAGTGGTTAAGTTTACAGCCAGAAATTCAAGGTTTAATTCCAAGCAGAGACATAGAAAAATCATGACTAGCAAATTTATGCAGCTAATTTATTTTTAAAAATTCATAAATAATTTATTGTGCAATTCTAAGTTTTATATATACCTAGTACAGTTTTTGTCTGTGTAGTCCATTTCAGGAAGATTTGTAGAGAGTACATATAAGTATGCCGTGGCAGTTAACACAATAACTGGGAGCCATAATATTGACGCCATCTTTTCCTCTTTTTCTTTCGCTTTTAGAAACTTTAGAAGCGGTATATCTTTGTCAACTCCACCTGATGCTGAAAATGTAATTACATCTGTTAAAAATATGTAATATTTTAACTTTACACGACACAGGAAGTCCAAAAACGACTGTTTTTTGTTTGTTTTATTTTTTTGTTTTTTTTTGTGGGGGGAAGGAGGTTGAACGAACTTCATGTGTTTCTCATTGAAAGAACTTCGTGTGTTTCTGTTTAATAATATCCTGCATTAAAGTAACTAAATACATGTAGTTATTCACAGACTGAGTTAAATCTCTCTTGAAAAGTCTTGTAAATTACACCAAAGATATGAGTTAAGAAGAATTTTATTCTCTCTAACAGTGTGTAATACAATGCTGGTAATGACATGATGCGTTAGAGTGATTGTTCTTCGTAATATACTTATTTTATTTACATAAAAAACACATATATTCCTACTAAACACTGATAAGAAGATAAACGAATTCCAACTTACTGCATCGTCTGGTTTTGACTTCTCGTTGTCGTTTGCAAGCTTAATCCTTAAAGGGAAAGCCGCATTAACAAGAAGCACTTAAATGACTATGAAGACAAGTTATAAATCGGATTCGTTTGAGTGCTTTATTTTAACGCGGTAATAGCAACGTCAGTTGTCCAATGATTTGAGATTGACTGATCTCTCACGAGGTTTGGTGGTCTAACGTTCAAACCAACGATTTTAAATAAATTGGACGCAGAAAATGATGTTATACATCTGGAACCAAAGACGCTGAATGATCCAGACGGTTCATGAAGTGGGACTTCCGCGACTGAGTGGTGACTAGTGTGTTCATGCGAATTCTTATTTTTGTGTGTTCAGAAATCCTTGACGCAATAGTTTTGGACCTCTTCAGAATTGTATCTCGCTAGCTACGCTACATCGATGAATTGCAATATGAATACATAAATGGATTGAAATGTGTTGATACTATGAGATTTTTTCAAATTCTTAAAATATCCATGCATACGACCTCAAAATCGCTCACCTGAAATGACCTAGACGTGTATCAGTAATGTGATTGTATGCACACTTCCGTTTCTGATAACATCACTAAATCACAGAGACGCTTTGGTTAGGCTATTAAAATGCCTCATAAGATAACCACACATATGTAACATGAAATCATTACTTGAACGAGAACTAAAAAAGCAAAATAAATTCATGATACATATCTGGGTTAATGTGTGCACCTTTAATTTTCTAAATGCTTAGATTAAAGGTTTTATCATTTGACCTTTTCATGAATGAGCCTTATTTCGTAGTATCACACAAACTCTTAGGAAATAAGACTCTATGACGAGTGTTTGGCTATACTTTAAATTGGTTCAAGCGAGGACAAAAACCAGACTATCAGGCAGTTCTAAAGATCTGCACTTCACAGCAGTACTACTAAGGATCAGAACTATATATTCATGTGTCACTCTCACAAGACAGATGCAGAATGATAATGATATGGTTAGCGGAGAGGACGTAGGCGTTTGTATGGCAAGAAACTGAAGCATGCAATGCAAACTGTGGTCAGTGGTACTTGTTACAATACAGATATGCCAAGTCCAGGTCAATGTCAACATTTGTGTTACACAATATCTTTAGAACATCAGTACCATGGTCACCTGACAACACATACTGTATATTTACCTTCATGACTTATTACACCATGTTACACTAGTAAACTTTTTATTTATTCATAATACAAACTTTTCAAATTAAGTTATTTTTTTCATCAGTCTGCAACTCACTACTAAATTCAAGTCAGAAATGAGTCACGCAGGTCAGAAGTTCATGTGATACAGCTTGACAAAATGACCACTCAGAAATACATAATAGTGTGCAACCAATATCAAGATGATACTGTCAAAATGTTGAGAGTGTCAACACCCTCTATAAAACATCATATTTCTTGATTTTTGCACCTTTTGTCGATGAGTATCATTAAGTTTAAGCAACTTTTTAAATGATTAGTTATGATTGATAATATGAAGAAACTAAAAAACTCTAAAAAATAACTGACTAAAAACATGACTGTAACTCATGTACCTATTTCTATGTACATGTTTTGATTGTTAATATTGAACATGTATTGATCATTGATATTGAACATGTATTGATCGTTAATATTGATTAGTCAAAAAATACATTAAGCTTACCCAGTGTTCATTTACTTACAGAATTTGCATCTCCATGAATGAAGGCATGAAGCAGTGACAACAGTCAAAATCCAACAACCAAACTTAATTGAAAATGGATAAATTACATTTTTTGGGATTGTCATGTACTAGTATGTACACATACACTTTAAGAAACATCAACTCCAATAATTGTTGCCGACTCCTAAAAATGAGGTCAGACAATCTACGGCAATTCAAAAGATACAAACACTTGTGTCAATTATCCAAGACATCTTCTGTAACTTCTGACTTGACTAAATGTTCAAATCTGATTCACAAACAGACATTTCAGAACTGGAATTCCCTGTCCATGGTTATATCTTCAAGTTGTCTCCCTTCTTCCAAATCAGCTGCTGATCATTATCGGAGAATTTCGACATTTTCACATCATTTTAATGTCAATAAAGATGATGATATACTAAAGGATGATCTATATTTAAAAGACCTTCTAAAAGAGATCAGAGAAGATTTTACTTCATATACCAAATCAAATAAACCCTTGCAATCTCCAGATAATGCTGAACAGGATAAAATAAAATCTTTAGAAGAAAATAATGACAAAATAACAGACGAAGAAAAAATTCAAGAAGACATCAGTAGCAGTGAAAATGAATCCTCATCTTCAAGTGATAGCTCCGACTCAGATGGTAAGGTGGGGGATTTTGAGTCTGACAGCAATGCTAGCAATAAACTTTCACAGGAAGGACATGTCCAAGCCAACCCAACAGCGCCTGATGGTTTAGACATAGGGGGCTTCATTAGTCTGGATGACTTTGAAGAAGTAGAGGAGTTTCCAGATACATTTGAACCGGAAGAAGTTCCGAAATGGAAATCACCAATTGACCTGAAAAGTAAGATGTCTACAGTTTTAGATACTTCCATTGACACATATGATAATGACTGCAATGTACTGCAGCCCAATTCAAGGCTCTGTGACGATCTGTCTTGACAAAAATGGCATGGAAATAAACCCTTCTGACTGTACAATTTCCTTATGCTAAGCTTTCCTGTTATAATATTCAGTCTATATTGTATAGTGAATATGTGTACTTACATGGTCTCAGGAGTAATAAAATCTTCTTGTGACAACATTTACATGATTTCACCCTGAAGCAATGACTACAATATTTTCAATTATAAGTAAACTCATTTATCGGACAACAAGTCAATTCCAGGTTATATAAGCCCACCCACATTTCATACAGTTTCAGTAGGGTAGTTGACAACAACTGTGTTTGTAATACAAAAATGTTGGTTTATCTTCTGTCTATACCAAAAATCATTTTGTCAATCCTATATTTTTATGAAGTTCAAATTTTGTTGATTTTTGAAAGAATACTACTGAGTTAATTTGCCCCCTTCTCCATTTCTGCAGAAACATTTAAATAATGTTAAAACAGTTAACTAGAAGTAGGTCACAGAAAACCTCTCCTTATGTTTAAATACTAAACTTTTACACTATAGAAGGGGTCTTAAAATTTTGAGGATGAATACAGTCTTTGCTGAGTATTTCAATATCAAAATCGGTAGATATTACCTAAGAATTCTACCGATTTTGATTTTAATAATGGAGTGATTATGGGACATGAATTCACACAACAAACCCTCGAATTCAATGAAAAAATTGATTCTCAAAAAAAGTATTGATTTTATAGTAATGATTTAGCCCTCCACTCTCCTGCATTCATATTGCAGCTATGATGAATGTGTTTTAAATACATTGTTGCTTTATTTATTAAAAGGAGGGGTAACAGGTGTCTATGATATTGAAGAGCTGGTGGTTTTACTGAAGGCTGACAATGCCAAAGATGTGTGTGTGATACGTATGCCAGATCACCTAAAGCTTGGTGATTACATTGTTATTGTGACTGCCTGGTCCTATCGCCATATGAAAGCCATCACTAAAAATGTGGTCACCACCGTAAGTAGTAGCTATGTCTTAATTAATAAACATGATATTATGATGTTTGGCTGACACTGTACATTTCCATGATAAGCCTTACAAAGTTTGTAAAAAAGAAATGACATTGACTCATATTCAAGGTCACAGGGTTTACTTTTGTTGAAACACATTCTTCTTATGAACCAAAAGACCTAAAATTGTAATTTCTTCTCATGAACCAAAAGACCTAGAATTGTAATTTCTTCTTATGAACCAAAAGACCTAGAATTGTAATTTCTTCTTATGAATCAAAAGACCTAGAATTGTAATTTCTTCTTATGAACCAAAAGACCTAGAATTGTAATTTCTAACTGGTAAGTTACTGGAATGAGGTCTGATGATGATTTTGGAAAAGAAATTATATACAAGGTCACAGATCAGAGAGGTCCATTTTTGTTTTAGTAAAAACTTCTTATTAACCATAAGGCCTAAAATTACAATATCTGGTTGTTAACTTACTGTGATGAGGCCTGAAATATTTTCAATGAACTTAGTCCATATTCAAGAATGACATAAGTGTTTCAAAAGGAAATCTTTCTATATCAGTAATATATAGATAATTATTCAACCTTTAGAGTTACAAGTGTACTTCTGTTCTTGGTTTAAATGAATGTCAAGCTATCGTGAAAAGCATTTGAAGCCAGTGAGTGATACAGGCCAATTAGGCTTCAATCAATTTTATGTATTTCAGTTTAAGTTAAAGATGAATGTGTCGGATAAATACCCATTGGTTTCTGGAGAAGATGAAGGAGAATGGGTTGCCTTTGATCTAGGTAAGAATATTATCACTGGCAGAGTTACAAATTCATTTGTTATATGAATAATTACCAAACCTAGCAATGTTTTCTTCAAGATTAAGTGTAAAAGGATTATCTGGTGGAAAAGAATTCCAAAAAATAACAAGTATATAAAGTAATTCTTTGCTGTTAGTCTAACCACGATCTGTTTATATTTATTTTTATGTAGTAATCAAAGGGACTTGGCAAACCCCATGGATTTAGAATTTGTGCCAAGTCCCTGTGGCCCATTCTACTGGTGTCTTCTCACTTAGCCAACATTTTGGTTTTTGGGGTATACAGGTAAGGTATTTTGTTGGCCAGGTGAGACTAGGTGGGAAAGGTAGAACAATAGGAGATAATTACAGGTAAGGCAATAGACTGCTTCATAAAACTCCCTACTTTCAAGAGAAAAATAACTGGATATTTAAGAATTACATGAAATTTTATATCGCATTAAATGCATTTACAGTATTAACTTACTTATATACCATATATATGAGAAACATAGCTACTATCTTTAGATTATAGAAAAACATAGGAATATCAGAAAGTACACATATAGCTCCTACTTTTCAATTATAGAATCTTAGAAAAACATAGGAATATAAAAAATACACATATAGCTACTATTTTTCAACTATTTCAATTATTTATGTATATACACATATATAGACAGATAAAGTAGCTAGATTTCAAATGTCCTTTTGAATAGGAGTATTATAATGTTCTGTGCATCCGCTATGTCATGAATTAAAATCACCTATTAGTAATTCAATGGTAAAAGCTTATAATTTGTATAATTGATACACTATATACGTGAAGGAAATAGATATTCCCACACAAAAGGAAATGAATTAATTCAATTCGATACTAGAATGCTTTTTTCACAGCAGAATTTTTCATAACTGATATTTCTTTTTTGGTGCAACACATTCAGTTTATTTCACTATTTTACTGTAAATGCAGTCGATGGGAAGCAGCATCAGCATAACCAAGCACATCAATATGTCTATTTCTGTATTGGTCCTTCAGTTGACTAAGACGAGAGTCTATGTGGTTTACCTCTGGTCGAAAGTTGGATCATCTTTGCTTCATTTGTAGCCTGAATTTTCTTCAGAAGCTGAACAGCCGCAAAGATATTCGGATGTGCATGCTGACAGAGCTTGTTGACCTTGCTGTGCCATCCCCCAACATGATTTGTCGTCCGTGGGCCATTGTTGTCATATTGGTTCCACAAAGCTACAATCTATCCCTCAACCCATTTTCTATAACATAGTCCTTAAATCTTGTAGTTTAAGGGCTGATATCTTCAATGCTGTCTAGGGCAAATAACCACACATCCTCCACTTGACCATTGGGCACTAATGAAGCACAGCTGCATGTCTCACTAGAGTTTTTAGTTCGTCATCCTGGCGATAGCGTCCAGCCAGTCCACATCCTTGTACTTTCCTCCAGATACACTGTGTGTAATGAAAAAAACACGCCTTCACAGTCGCTGTAGAAAACGCACTTTCCACGGCGTTCCTTGCTGCTACCTCAAAGTCCAACATAACTGTCTCTGGAGCGAAAACAAAGTTACTCTGAGTCACAGAATCCCTGAGTAAAGTAACCTTCTCCTGTATATCTGTTTTGTCTTGTTGGGTAGAAGGGTAAATACCAAAGGAAACACAGTTAAATCAACGTCCTGTCTGTAATTATTACATTGTGCTGCTGATTGTGTATATAACTACCACCTGTGTATCACTTACCACCTGTTTATGTAACTACCACCTGGCTATAATTATCACCTGTCTAGAACTATCATCTTATGCAAACCATCTGTTTGCAAATACTGTCTTTCTATCTCTACTACATGTCCATAATTATCATCTGTGTATGACTGCAACTTTTTAAGTACTATCTGTCTACCACCTGGCTACCTATATCCTGCTCTCCCCTCTGTCCTTGTTAATTCCCTGTTCCACCTCCCTTCAATACAGGATGTCTGTCTATCCATAGAAAAGAAATTTGTCCAGACAACACCTCCTTTACTTGTCAACCAATATCAGTGAAACTACACTGGGATGTTATTAGGGACAATGTGTAGAGGTGCACACAGATTTTTTCCAGCAGAAATTTTGTTTGCCATTGCAACTTTATACAGGTTTTGCATAACGGCCCATAGCTCATTAGTCCTTCAATCAATTTTAATAAAGTAAGGTCAGATGGTGTCAATTGTCAAAGCCATTAAGCTAAATCATCAAGTGTTTTCAGAACTTTTACTATGGAAACATGATGGAGGGCTCTGATTGGTCATGATTGAGATATTGTTCAACAGACAAGTTTAAAGATCTCGCTTCGTTACCCTGTGATAGGAGAGATCCATTCAAATATCAGGTGCAGGATGTCAACAGTTTCCATTCAATATGTTTTAGAGCATAAAATATTGACATTGATATCAAATTTATACATAGATTAACCATTGTTGTATAGAAAGATGTATTGAGAGGACCAGATGAAAGTCAAACAAGTAACAAGGAGACACTGACTGCAAAATGTATAATCTTGATGTCACATTAATTCGTCCATGATATTGTGATGCTTAATAAATGTGTAAAGTTTGATAAGAATCCATCAAGGAATCAAATAGAGTGCTAACATTGATTTTCTGAAAATAGTAACATGACCTTGACCTTTACCCATCAACTCTGAATCTCAAACTTGTTTAAAATATTTTGATGCTTAATAAGCATGTGAAGTTTGATGAGAATCCCTCAAGGAATGAAGCCTCTAGCTTTAGAGTGCTGAAAAACGGTAACAGAAGCAGAGAGGGTATGGCAGGAGGATGGATGGAGAGAAAGGTATTAGTCCTCAACTTTCAGGGGTAGAGGACGAATAACTATAAAACAAAACCAACTAGTCAGAGAATATAGAATGAGGATATACAAGTTTTACCTGATCATAGTGATGGCACTCAGAATTTTCAGTTCAAGATAATATTCTGTAGAAATTGAGAGTACAGATCAACCTACTAGCCTCAGCTAATGGGAATTTCCATTTAGTCAAGCAGTAGAGAGTCAAGCTAGAGAATGATGGGTCACTAGTTTGAATGCTGGCAGTGGCATCGTGTTTGTCACTACTCCTTAAGATTCCTATTAGAGATTTGGCGCCATTGACCACTCGAAGAATAGAAACTATAGGAGATTGAGATGCTTTCTTGGAGATATTGAACCTAGGTTGTTGTTGTCTTTGGGGACAAAGACTTTGTGAAGGAGGAGGTAGTGTAGGAAATGGGAGTACAGATCTTCTTACTAGCATCAGCTGGTGGGAATTCCCCTTAGTTGAGTAGTTGAATGTCTGGCTATATATAGAGACTGAAGGGTCACCAGTTTGAAACCCAGAAGGGAAGGCTGTTTTTTACCTTCCTATTAAAATTCTGTATACTACTTTCAAAAGAATTGGAGCTAACTAATTAAAACAGAAAGGTATAATGCTTTATGAAAATGGGAAGGATACAATGTTGCATTTATTCATGAACTTGCTACATAAAGGCGCTTTAGTCTACGGGTTTTAGCTCACCTGTCCCAAAAGGCCTAGTAAGCTTATGGTATACCACGGCTTTGTCTATCAATCATCCATCTGTCATCCATTATTTTTTACTAATCTTCTTCCCACAAGGATGTTTCTAATATTCATGACTAGTAGCAATTTGTAGAAAAAATTGACAAAAGAACGACATGCTGCGGTATCACAATAGCTCACTTGGCCAGGTGAACTAAAACCTATTGTATTTTGACATATGATATTATGGTACTGCAACTGAATGGCAAGAAGTACTCGCCCATACAGCATCTTACATTCTTATAAAAACACCACTTATTTCTTTATTTCAAAACACAACACCACTTGTGTCTGTCGAGAATTTTTATAACAAGATTGTTGGAAATATTGAATTGTGAAATGAGTCTATTATGCTGAAACTTTATATATAAGAGTTTTGAAGAATGAAAATTGCAAAAGTTTTATTTTCTGAAACATCCCATGTCATTTGGTTGCCATGGTAGCAAAATAAGATCAAAGGGACCTTTTCCAGATTGATCCTAAACAGGGGAACCAATTTCAATTAAACTATCAGAAATATTATAAGCCATATATAGATCTGAATGCATACAGACTTTTTCTTTATTTTTTCATAGCAAAAGTTTTGGTTGCAGTGGTAACTTGGTCACTGTATCTGTCTGTAACTAAAACCTGTCCCTATCGATCAAGTCTCTGTAATTATCACCTGTCTACAGCTACCACCTGTCTATCAGTTGTCTATAATTAGCACCTCTCTTTATGGATCAAGTCTCTATAGATACCACCTGTCTATCACTTGTCTAACACTATCATTTGACTTTAATAACCACCTGTCTCTAACTACCACCTATCAATAACTAGCATTTATCAATAATTACCACCTGTCTACAACTACAACCTGTCTATAATTATCACCTGTCTATAATTACCACCTGTCTCTAACTACCACCTATCAATAACTAGCATTTATCTATAATTACCACCTGACTACATCTACAAACTGTCTATACCTACCACCTGTCTTCAACTGCCACCTGTCTATAATTACCACTTGTCTATACCTACCACCTGTCTGTATCTACCAACTGTCTACAGCTACCATCTGTCTATAATTACCACCTGTCTGTATCTACCACCTGTCTACAGCTACCATCTTTCTATAATTACCACTTGTCTATACCTAGCACCTGTCTGTATCTACCACCTGTCTACAGCTACCATCTGTCTATAATTACCACCTGTCTGTATCTACCACCTATCTACAGCTACCATCTGTCTATAATTACCACCTGTCTATACCTAGCACCTGTCTGTATCTACCACCTGTCTACAGCTACCATCTGTCTATAATTACCACCTGTCTATACCTAGCACCTGTCTGTATCTACCACCTGTCTACAGCTACCATCTGTCTATAATTACCACCTGTCTATACCTAGCACCTGTCTGTATCTACCACCTGTCTACAGCTACCATCTGTCTATAATTACCACCTGTCTATACCTAGCACCTGTCTGTATCTACCACCTGTCTACAGCTACCACCTGTCTAAAATTTCCTCCTGCTTTTTTGGGACTGCAATGGCTCAGTAGTTAAAGCAAATGACCATTTTATCACTAGCCCTCTGCATCCGAGTCACAGATTGGAGAATCTCAGAGGGGAATCACCAGGTACCGGTCACAGGTTGTTGGTTTTCCTTCAGGAACCCAGGTTCTCCTCCACCAAACTAACCTGGCAAATCCTTAAATGGCCCCGGCTGTTTATTTGGTGTAAAGCAATAATACACTTAACCTGCCTTTTGCTGTATGTCTTTCTATCCATATGTCTACAGCACTCATCAGTAATGAGTATGTAAAATAAAAAGAGTTTGTTTGAAATGCTGATCAACATTTGTTTTCTTTTGTAGGTAACATCCTACTGCACATATTTAGAGAAGAAGTACGCGAAAAGTATGACCTTGAAACTCTCTGGGCTGTGGGGCCTAAGTTTGACAGTAAATGTGAAGAAATCAGTAACACATATATACTAGAAGACACTGATATGAACTGGCTACAAGAATTTTACAAGGAGAAAGAAGAAGATTAAGGAGAAGCTTTATATGGGTCCAGAAGTACAATTAGGCAGTCTGCAAGTCGTTTTAAAAACATTATTTTCGATCAAACTGGGACTTAATTTTCACCTATGTTTTCGATTACATCTGATTACCATTGTTTGATAAACAATAACATTATTAGTCAGTGTTTTTGCTTTTTGTTACTAGTCATCAAAGCTTTCAAAGTCAAAGTAAAAAATGGTCACTGGCAGCCATCTTGAATCAGTGTTAACAATCCTAAAATGACAAAATCCAAAATGGCAGCTGATATCCATGTTGAAGAAGGCAAGTCCATACTGAAATTATTAATGATTTCTTATTATAAACAGCAGTTTTGGAGAAATAACAACAAGAACTATTTTATTGAGTAAAAGCACATCAGATAAAAAAGACTGAAATGTAGAGGCAAATTAACTATTTAACTGAAATATTCTCTTTAACAGCTAATCATTGAAAGCACAAGTTGCAGTCAAAGGTATCATGTACGGACTACTGTATACAACAAAGGTGATCATTATTGCAAACCACGTATTTGTTCTTCATTCAACATCATGACATTTGACATTTATTTATTAATAAATCATTTATTAAAGACATTAATCACATGGTCAGTTCAAAATTTTGAATAACAAACTGGTCTTGAATTTGTGCTGTGGGTTTTGTTGACCCTTTGAAATGTAATGTTTTAGTTATAGTACGGTTACAAATCACTAATGCCGCATGCCGGCGTTGTAACTGCCAGTTCTCGCTCAAATTCGGCCGATAACAGCTCCGAAAACAATCTAGATTCTAGGGCGGGCGGTGGCGGTTAGAACGGTGGTAGGTAAAATCTGAGGAGTGCCGGTCGACACCTTGATGACGTCACACACCCGCGAATTTACGAAACTGCCTGGGCCGCCCGGAACCCGTCAGGCGGCCTTTTACTGGCAGTTATTTATGACCACTCGCACCGATTTGTAAAAAATCGTCCGGCGGGATGTCTCTTTAAGAATCCGCCGATGTCTAAAATTCGGCAGGCGGCAGTTTCACATTCTGACAGTACTATTACTGATGTAATCAACTACATGTATTAAGCTGTTTTTCTTATTTTCATTATATACAATTTTTATAAAAGACACAACTACGCCTTGTTCCTGTCAAAGTGTGATGCAGTAAATAAATAACAACAACATTAAAAATAAGTCAATGACTTCGCTTCAAAACGCTATCCTTCTTTCTGGCTTGAATGGATTGAAACCAAATATGGTCTGAAACATCATCGTGGAGGTTCATCAGATTTGGTAGACCGACCACCATATGCGAATTTTGCTGTTTGTCGATTCATGCATTAGTTGTCAGATGACCGTTAAGGGTCATGACCCTCAGTTGTTTTAGTAATTGATTGCCTCTTTTACAAAATAGTTCCTATTGAACATCACATTCTCGCCGGCTAAAAAACGGCTCTTTTCAGTGACTTCGTGGTCTTGGGTTCTTTCAAATTACAGGTTTAGCAATGCTTTTTTCCTGTTTTGAAATCTTCCAACACAGATGTCAAGGGAAGCTGGTGCTTGGCAAGTCAATTCTATTGAAGTTTGATAGAACTCGAAAACACTTCCTGAAATGCTTGTTAACAATCAGCTGAAGCTGCATGTTCATTGACGATAATGTCCCTGGAACAATTTTACGGGTTCCAGATTTGATGAAATTTTCAATATTTTAAGTACACATATGTGGCCAAAAATATGTCGATATTTCAGAGGAACTGTAAGCTTTTCAAACTGTTTTCCAAAAACTTGAATTTGTTGAAAAAATAGTTTTCAAAGTTGATCTTCCATTTTATATTCGAGTTCAAAACGTGCAACAGACTTTAATGAAGAGCATTTGACACCCAATTAAATTATTTATTATAGGGTTTTAAACATGTTTAGGGACAAGATGTGCATCCTGGCTCACACAAATGACAAGGATAATAAAATAGGTCATAGTACATGCCATAGTTGACATTGGATTTTTTTAACATACATTCTTAGGAGTGTACTTTGGTACTACAAATAACACACAATAAAGATTGAATTGGGATGTGGGCAAAATTACATGTACCGTGAAACGGTCCTTTTGATGTAATAGGATCACCAGGCCAGTAAATCGGGGACGCACTAAAAAATCATACTTCCTGGTAAAATGTAAAAATTTAAAAACTCATCCAATCAGTCTATGTGAAATGCGATATTTATGTCTTGGAAGGTTGTAAAAATTGATAGAGCTTATCAATATCCATTGCAACGATTAAAACAACTGGAATAGCCAGGATAACTGCTCCCAGTGATCCGATCGCTCGAGTGGAGGGGCGACTGTCCAAAGCGCATGTCTTCCTCCTGATTGTGGCTGGAATAAAATAAAATAAAAAAAACGATATTCATGTTGTCGACAATCCTATGAGCACATATTTATTTTAATGTATGTATTTCACTGGTATGCTATGGGGGTGTTTTTTTCAAAAGAGATTTAATGGTCGTTGTTTCCTAGGAGGGAACAGGTCGGATAAAATGAATTATTGAAAAAAATTTTGTTTGTGCGATATGAAGTTTGACGTGTTTGATGCTCGTTAGTTTGCATGTTGGTTCCATTGTTGTGTACCTTGTTCTCATTGAGAACGACATTACTTACTAGGATTGTCGTTGATGAAACAGAAGACGCGTACTCCTCCGGAACACGTGGAAAAAACAAGATGTGTTTACGAAACACTTTACTCCAGGTTGAAACAAAATTCCAGAGTAGGCCATTAAAACTGTACACTTATGAAGCAATTTTGTCATACAGTACAATAGTTACCGATTGCTGGTAAGTCTATTGGTCAAGTTTTTCAAATGTAGGTCAAGGCCACGTGCTTAAAGTTTAGAACTAACAAACGAACGACAGACAGCACTAAAGAATATTACCCCTATTTTTCAATCTGAGGACATAAAAATACCTAAGTTCACAAAACGTCATTTATTAAGTGACCAAAGGAACAGCTAGAGACGTGATAAGATATAATAACTTATGGTAACACGTCTTTATCAAATATCCTTATGTAATTTAACCTATAATATGAAGATTGTAACTTAACCATATATGTAAATTTATATACATTTTTTTCTTAATACCTGGTTTTAAATATGGAAACATGTTTACAAATTCTTCTGAAGCAGCCTTGTTGAAGTGGACACGTTTTCATGATATGTCTGTGTGTGAGTTATTGTTTAATCTATTTTCAAGTACATGTATAAATTATGTTTGTAGAGGTTACGATTTCTATCAGCACCGTGATTTGCCAAATCGATATTGGAAGAAAAACGATTTTGGTAACTTTCAAATTTGTTTTCCGTGCCTCATTGAACTACGGGAAATGTCTGCTTAACTTGTGTATATATTTTGTACAATTATTGTCAAGGGACCGTTCTGTATTAAAAATCCATATATGCTTCTTCTGTAAATGATCATTCATAAATGATATTGAGAATGACCTTGAACGAGTAATGAAAATGATTTTTTAGAAACTATTTTCGCAATTTTAAACTTTACAAGTTTGCAACTCATATGTATTTAATTGTTAATGATGATAATGAGAACAAATATGCTTTCTTGGTAATTAAGTACAGAACAAATCTTAACCTGATTACGAACCATCTTCATCTGTCACAAAGAATGTGAAGATTTTTACCAAAGCGATTCTATGGTCAATGATTGTGAGCATAATGACGCTTACAAGATTGTACAAAAGACACACAAGTGAATAACATCTTTTCCTAATTTAGAGTTGGATACAGTAGAGCCAAACAATGAATTTGACTGCATTATACAGCTGTTTTGGCCTTCTAGGAATCGTCAGTGATGCTAGGTGCCTAACAGTTGAAGCCTAGGAGTCGGTTAAAGAAAATCCAAAGTGATCCAAAGAAAAGTCAAAATCTAGACAGGGAGGTGCAGCACTCTCATAATGAAATAAGTTCCGTAATTTTCATACGTCAGATAATTTTAGAATAACGTCATATACATGTGTATTTTCTGAACAGTGCCAATATTCGAACGAATTTAAACGTGGCGAGCAAGTTACAGCAAAAATAGGAGACCACCAGCAGTGTCTGCCACCTGCTATCTTAAAGAATGTACAAAGCCACACAAACTAATATAGCACCTTTTCATAACTCGGAGTGAGATACAGTAGAGCCAAACAATATTTACGCTTTTAACGTTGAAGGACTGAAGAAAATTATTTCCCGTGTTGAAATATCAATGAATAGTTTAAACAATCTGGTCATAATGTTAATTGTTTTTGTATACATCTGCAAATGAACATTCACTATATTATATAGAAGATTATATACATGAGCACATATACTTACATGAAAGTGTCATTTTGTTTAACAATAGTTCTGCTCTCAGCTGTCTGATGATGGCCTCTAATTGAGTGTTGGTCATATTGGTAATCGGATGCCATGTATTACAGCGACAGCAACGGGATACGACTTGAGCTGTCAAGTAAAAAAGTGAAAACTGCTCAGCAAGCAAATAACGTCATTCCAACATTTCATTCGCAAAGTTAGAATTTAAGTATAATGAACACAATTAACATCATTCTAAGGCTGTTGTTCTTTTTCAATAAATCAAAGTTTATATTCCAATTTTTCAAAAATCTGTGTATCTCATATCATTTAAATGCAATATGGCTCCATTATTTTGTGGTAGCTAATGGTGAAGTTTATCATTATTCCATGTAATGTAACACACATCTATGTTAAAAGTAGGTTGTTTTATTTTCTCTACGTTTCATTTTTATTAGAAATGAAGACGTTACTCGTTAATAAAAGCTATAAATACAAAAATCAAGAAAGGATACAATAGAGAACATGTACTTGTTACGAATGTATTGTAGTGACAAGGGTGACAACTCCGAAAACTGAACATTGGTAAATATTTGACCAATTTCTTTCATCACTCATTGGAATGATAATGACATTTTCGAAAACGTACTGAATGTGTTCCAGATATCTGCGGCCCCTAAAATATATACAGTTGATACTCGTTGTCTCGAAATCGCTTAAGTCTAAATTCCGTTTGAGTCGAAACAATTTTTAATTCCCGATTT